ACAAAAAGGGCTCAATCTGGATGGGAGGGAAGATCAAGAGGAACTGGGAGAAGTAGAGGGAGGGGAAATAGTAGTCAAAACATATTATGTGAGGGAAAAATCCATTTTCAATAAAAGGGGGAAAAGAAAATATGCATACACACACACACACACACACACTTGTCATTCTCTTCCTCCAATTCCTCCCATGCTCCCTACTCCTACTCAAATTGAAAGTTTTCCTTTGACTATTACTGATTAATTATATACGCACATAAATACATAAGTACACAAAAAAGAAAAGAAAATCATCTATGAAAATGCTGTGCACAAGCCCTCTTTTTCGGACTATTTCCACTATAAAACTGGATATGGCAGTGCGCTGGTGGCGCACGCCTTTAATCCCAGCATTAGGGAGGCGGAGGCAGAGGCAGGTGGATCTCTGTGAGTTCGAGGCCAGCCTGGTCTACAAGAGCTAGTTCCAAGACAGGCTCCAAAGCCACAGAGAAACCCTGTCTCGAAACACACATACACACACACAAACAAACAAACAAACAAAAACTGGATATGTATTACAATATTAGTAACATGGGAGTCATGGCATAATCTTTTATAATCCCTAAGAGAATTTTTTTTTTAGTTTTGTTTTCCGAGACACAAGCAGAGAAGAATCCAAAGGCATGATCTGTCCACTATCGGAGGAGTCAAGGTCTTTTTCAAAAGCCTTACAATGCCAGCACAGAGAAACCCTGTCTCGAAACACACATACACACACACACAAACAAACAAACAAACAATCCCCACAGCACTGTTAGTTTCTAAAACTTTATAAAGATAAACTGATCTACTTACTCAGCAGAAGCAAGTACTCCTTTACACAAGTGCTGTGTGTGGCCATGACAACAAATGCAGTGCTTCCCCCTTGTGAGTCTAGGAACCACAACATAGCTACGAACAGCTCATGTTACTATATGGCTTCTGGGTCTAGGTGACCAAGGCTCAGCAAGTAGTCAAACTGAAGCTCCATGCCTAAAAGGTGGCCGGGCATCTTAGTCACTGACTCGTAGCAGGTAGGTGAGTATCAGGAGCACCAACCCTTAATCAGCCATTTTAGAAAAATGGAAAGTCAGTACGGACCTGAGTCCATAAAGGCTTTCTTACATGGCCAGAATTTCCCATTTCTCTAGCTACACTTCAGATATGCACCCTTCTCTCCATGCTCTTTTATTTAACAGGTTCAAACCACCACACAAGCAATCCTACTTTTTCACGCAACACAGGCTCCTGAAGGCCAGCAAAAACACAGTTTGCAAAGTCCTGATTGTCTCCGAGGCCCCAAAGGGTGCATCCTCAATTAACTGTTATCTGTCACCAAAGTCTGCATGCTACAAGGGATACTTGAACTCCAGTGGAGATGACATCACCGGAAACAAACATGCCATCTTACCAATGCTTTCTGAATCTCCCTTATGCTTTTTGTTTGTTTGTTTTTGTTTTTCAAGACAGGGTTTCTCTGTGTTGCTTTGGAGCCTGTCCTGGAACTAGCTCTTGTATACCAGGCTGGCCTCAAACTCACATAGATCCACCTGCCTCTGCCTCCCGCCTGCTAGGATTAAAGGTGTGCACTACCACCGCCAGACTCCCTTATGCTTTTGACTAAGTTCCTTTATAAGGGCATGAGGGAAATGTTTATCACCTAGAAGGGTCAACCACTGACAATATTATTTTGCAGAAGAATGCAAACAATCCCTGTTCATAAAAGAGAAAAGTCTGCTTATCCTGGCTAACTGGTACACTTCCTTCATTAATCGATGGCAACTATAATTAGCCCTAGTTCCTCTTTCACTTTGGCAAATTAAAACAAAAAATGTAAAAGCACGTTAGTTACATGTAAGCTGTGAATTATCCTTATTTGAAGCTCTTCACCTAATTCTCCCATCCATGAACTATTCTACACCTGCACTATTATTTTCATAGTTCTCTAAAACACCTTTTTATTAACACAAGGACGTCCTACATCCTTTCTCAAGGAACATAATTATTACACTAATGCTCATCTATGCACAGAATTCTTTAAAACTAGAGTCTCTTTAGCAGAAATGTTGGTAATCATCAAAGAATCAGGAAACAATGGTTAAAAGGTCCAAGCAGCAGACTAAAGAGGTAGAATGTTACCAAAACACTGCTACCTCCAAAGAGTACAGCCTACTTTGAAGATATTGCAAAGAAGCCTGTAAATAAAAGCCAGCATAACACACACATATCTGTTGGCTTTCAGGATGAGCTAAACTTTTGAATGCCCGAACAGCAGAGCCTAAGGTAAACAAAATAATCACCAGGCTCCAACTTTCTATTTGTACAAGGTACACAGAAACTTTAGCAGCCCCTTCCTTTGGCTCCATCAGGGCATAACAGCCTGCTGATCCACTGAACAAATTCTGTGATAAGAATCCCTGTTTGCCTTACTGTGATAAGAACCAAGATTCTAAAAATCAGTAACCCCTGGACTTGGAGAAGGCTCTAGTCTTTTATTGACACATAGGAACTATTTGTAGGAAATTAGGAGTCTGGAAGAAACCTGAGCCTAGTGTTTTGATCTAATGATCAGCAAACAAACTGACCACTTTGGGGTATATGCCCAAAAGAAGGGATGACAGCAGGTCTCAAGAGGAGCCATTCATATCCATGTTCACAACACCAACTCCTCTCAGTCAAAAGGCTGCCATCCACCCACAGATGGTCGGATAAGCAGAAAGGAACATATGCAGGTGTTTCTCCTCCGTCGATGGCCCTAGAAACCTACTTCTAAGTTGAAAATACAGACCTGGGAAAAGTGTATACTTAGTAGATCAAACTTTCTAACTTAGCAACAAAGCATAATGTAAGGGATCATTGGTTACCCTTCAGGATCACATGTCTGACTGGGACAGAAAAAAGAATCAAAAATTCAAAATGTAAAGAACAGTTTCTGCTGTAACTATACATTTTCACACACCCTAAAGCTAAAAAGTGTCTAGTCAAGCCATTATAAGCTAGGCACAATCTGTACATACAACAGACTACCAGTCTAAGTGAGAAAACTGATGCATGCATTGACATGAAGGCCATAGATGTTACATCATCAGAGAGCGGCAAAGAGTAAGCTATGGCAATGATATAATGCAATGCTATAAAAGTTACCCTCCCTAGAAAGCAGAACTATACCTAAATACTACTAATTATACACAGCCACAAAATCACTATCCAATCAGAACCAAGAGAGCCAGGCCTGGCAGTTCATGCCTGTCCCCCACTACTGGAGAGACTGAGTGAAGCAGAAGCATCCTGGGGTCAAGGAAGACAGGTCAAGGCTACATCCAAATATTTTCTACAACCAAGGAAGAGAGCCTAGTTCTACAACTCCTACCCAGAAATGCTGTCATAACGGAGTGTTCAGCATGGGAAGCAAAGACAATCCTTACGAAAGTAGTTGCAAGGTCTTTTATCACCCAACTGAAACCAAACAAGCCATCTTCTGGAGTCATTCATAAACTTAGGCTACTACGCTGATCATAATAAAAGCAACTTTGGTGCCGACTGTTCTAATAAAATACACTCTCCATTCATGAGCATGTACACTTTTATTACACACGACATGTGCCACAGGTAGCCTGAAAGATACTTGGCAAAATAGATCACTCCAGAACTCAGCTTCCAAAGATATCAGTAATATCAAAATTACTGCCCAAGCCTTCACCTTTTAATACATTTTTGAGCTCATGGTTACAACGGAAATTTTACTTGGAAAGTTTAATGTTTATACCAATGAATTTCCAACTTAGTGAACGCATTTTACAGCAGGTTTCCTATTTCCCAAGTGGCTCAACTTGCGCCCTTTTCTACTGACTGACGGTGTGGCTGCTCAGGATACTGACAATCAGGACTGCGAAGATTCAGAAAGTCAGGCAGGGCGAGCTCCCAAGCAACTCTCTTTTATCCGATGAAGGTTTCCCACATGTGATTATCATAATACCTACGCTATCATATATTGGTAGCTTAACCGTTAAGTTACTACAACTCTCCCCACAAAAGCAAGGACTAGAGATCAAAGACTCCTCAATCATCCGTTTAAGCAAATCTTCTCAGGACACTGGGGCTGTCCTGCAGGCAAAGTCACAAGGGCAGCTCAGCTCTGCTAGGCAATCCACACCAACCTGATAGGCTAGCTTCAAACGCACATCAATCTGTCCAATGAAAGCCCCTTTGCAGGATCCAGGCACAGAGACCTGAGAGGGGAGGGGCAGAAAAGATGGCCTCGGCCAACCGCCCCCTGGGGCCAGCCCTGGTCACCTGCCAATAACCACACAACAATCCTTCCCAGGACTCCAGCCATCACCTCGTCCGAGGCCTTGTCCCCCTCCTGGTCCTCTGAGGTGTTCACGGGTCCCGCGCCATTCGGCAGGCCCGGGTCGCGATCCCGGGGACGCCGGCCCGCGTGTGCACCTCCGGTCTTCGGTCGGGCTTCGAACGCCAAACCGGACCTGTCAAAGCCCGCTCCTCCCAGGAAGAGGGTGCGGAGAGGCCCCGGCTCGAAGTCCCGGGGTGCCCGAGGTCCGCGTGGACCGTCACCCGGCCGAGCTCGGCGTCGCGGCCTGCTCCCGGCGCCCGCGCGGGCCGCGCATTTCAGTCCCCGGGGCCCGAACACAAAGCGGCCCAGGGGGAGCCCGCCTCACCTGCAGCACTGGGCGCCGCGGGCCTTCCAGAACCATCGGACCCCGCTCCGGCGCGCGCGTCACAGCCCAGGCCTCCCGGTGCCGCCCGGCGCCGCCGCCGCCGCCGCCATTTCCTGCCGCTCGCCGTCGCCTCGTTCCCGCTGTCAGGTTACTCCATTCACCTGGGCCCAGAGCCGCCCGCGCCTCGCCGCGCCGCGCCCCGACCCCTCCCGCCCGCGCCTGCGGAGACTGCGCAGCGCCCTGCTCGCCCGCAGCCCGCGCTCGGCCCGCGGCGACGGCGCACAGCGGCTTGGAGAATCCCACCGGCGTCGCGCCACCCCTCCGCTCCCCGTCGCTAGCTCGCCCCGCGGCCGCATGAAAGCCGCCCTGTGATTGGACGAAGTGCGGAGGTGAAAGGTTAATCCCGGCCCCCCAGCCACTCAGGAGCTAGGAAACAGCGGGCTCGAGCTGAGGCGGTGTCTGCGGCCCAACGCGAAGACCGAGCTGGATAACGCAGTCAGCCGGGCGCTGGGAATTCTGGCCGCGCTGCCGCCGCGGGCCACGCAATCTGGGCTTGGTCTAGAGGAGTCTCCCAGCTTTGGGGACTCTCCCTTCTTGATGGTGGCATCTTCACGAACCCATCGCCCCCAATCGCAATCCCCTCTGCAGGGCCCTTTGGGTCCTCAGACCTGGGCCCGTGGGCAGCCCTCGAGGCCAACTTGAACAAGCAGAAAATGCCCGCGGTGTGCAGAGACTTGGGTTTATAGGTTTGAGCCGCGCCTCCTTCCTCAGAGTGAAGAGGAAAACCTTCTTAGTGTAGGATCCTCCCCCGCCTTCCATGTATACCTCTCTTCCTGGAGATCTCCCTTTCCTCCCTCCCCACCCCCACCCCCAGCCCGACCGCTGTACCCCCGGTGAGGGATGGGTGGAATGATTCTAGCACCCGGCTTCTCTCTGCCCCTGGGAGCACTTAATGGCAGCTGTCCCTCTGCACTGTCCCACGTGGTGGCTGTTAGCTCTCTGAATTAAGATGGAGGTATGGTTTACTAATTTTTATACTTAAAAGTTGAAGCGATTTGTTTATTAAGTACTAGTACCGTTTGTTTTATTTTTTTATTACTATTAATTTGAAGTCAGGTCTTTTATGTAGACCAGACTGGCCTTGAACTCGAAGATCCGACTGCCTCTCTCTGCCTCGCATTCGTTGGGTTTAAAGGTGGGCATCACCAAGCCTGACTTTAAAAAAAAGATCTATTCATTCCCTTATTTGTGTGTCTGTGGGTGTCTGTGGGATGCCTGGCTTGGAGCTAGGATCCTCAGAATTTCACAGCAAACGCTCCTAACCTCTGAGCCGGCTCTCCCTCCTCCAGTTGATTTCTCTGATGGGAGCACTAGAAGTTTCTAAGCTTCATTGACTAGCATTGAATTTAAGGCTTACAGACCTTTCAGCGCACTCTTAGGTGCTTTCCATTTTAACAGATGGAAGAAAAAGAAAAAAAAAAAAACACAAAACCAGAGTAACCTCCAGTAAGTCTGCAGCTGGGATATGAACAACTGAGATTTGAAGCTTATGCTGTCTTAACTATGAACAACTGAGATTTGAAACTTATGCTGTCTTCTGAGCTGGTATGTTCATTGAGCTCAAATCTTGGTCATGTATTTATCATGAATGGGCTTGACCATTGACCTGAATATCCTGGGTAAATCAGGAAATAAAATGGTTTTGGCTGACCACATTTACAAAATGTTTCTTTAAAAAGAAAAGGAAAGAAAATACTGTGGTCAATAGCTCCCCTGTGAAGACATAAAGGGTTTTTGTAAGTGGTCCTTTATAAGCAGAAGGAAATCGGAGAGAAGTATAGAGCTGCACTGAGGGAAACTGGCAGCAGGACTGTGGATGGGTAAAACTGATGTTTCTTCCTGTTGTCCTCCCATAGTCTCTCGGGACCAGCTCAAAGCCCTCAAGATGGCGCAGCAGGTAAAGGTGCTTGTGCTGAGTTCAAATCCTGGGATCCACCTAAAGGTGGCAAGAGAGAACTAACTCCCCAAAGTTATCCTCTTCCTTCCACAGCACATTGTTGTATCCCCTTACACACACACACACACACACGTCGCAAAAATATTTTTTAAAAGCCAGCTGGGCTTGTCCATTAGCAGATGTTTCTGATTTTATTGTTTATCTCTTTTTTTGGTTTTTTTTTTTGGGGGGGGGGCAGGTTGGGTTTTTGGTTTTTTTTGTTTTTTTTTTTTTTTCAGAGACCGGGTTTCTCTTTGGAGCCTGTCCTGGAACTAGCTCTTGTAGAGCAGGCTGGCCATGAACTCTCAGAGATCCAAATGCCTCTGCCTCCCAAGTGCTGGGATTAAAGGTGTGCGCCACCACCGCCCGGCTTATTATTTATCTTTAAAATAACTGGAGAGCACCTCGATCCGTCTGTCTTTCAATTAAAAAAAATGAGTTTGGACTATCCAAGCATAAGGAGGAGGTTGAGGTAGCAAAATCACAGATGAAGGCCAGATTGAGCTACATCCCAAAGCCCTGGTACAAAGATTATATATATGATTGTGTGTGTGTGTGTGTGTAGATATGATATGTATGCACATCCACATACATGTATGCGTATGCCGTTGGGCAGTGTCCTGCTCTCAAGATCATTGCCTTTCAGAAACACAGCTGCAGAAGAGAGTCCTCGCACCAGGCCACTCAGCTCTCACACTGATCGCCTCTGGAAAGACCCTCACCAACAATTCAGCCAATCGGAATGTGCCAGTTTCTTCCCATGATTTAGCCTTCTAATCCTCACATACATCCTCCCTTTTCAACAGGAATTCCAGGTTTTAGAACATCAATGTTTGGGACTAATCTTCCAGAACTGTGAATTGGGGACTACTGGTCGTTGAACCCAGGGCCTCATGCGTGCTAGGGCAAGTGCTCTCTATATACCCTGCTCAGTTTGGGGGTTTTAGAGTTGACCCATAATAATCTTTGGGCTTTTCAGTATTCAGGATTTGAGATGCATGGTTCAGGATTATGATCAGCAGCAATGAAAAATAAACTGTAAAGAAGTCTGTGCCCTGCAGACATTTTCATGCCCCAGCAACAACCACTGTTTTCTTGTTCATTCTTCCAACTTGCCTTCACAAACAAGCCAGGGTACTTTGTCTTCTTCATTACGAAAACCCTAGAATGCCATACATGCTGTATAAATAAACAAGATTTACTATATCTTGTTTTTAATATATACATATATAGGACAGATATCGATAGCAAGTGGGAAAGCTCTTGGTTTTGCCATAATTCACCAGTTCTCTGGTGCAGCTGTGCAGACTGTGAGTCTTGCAATTCAACACTGAAGTATTTAGAATTGATCCAGTGTGTGGAGTGAGGCATGATTCCAAGTGACCCCCTCCCCGCGCCCAGACACCTATATAATTGCCTCTTTACTAGCCGTTTGTAGAATCTATCTGGGTTCTGAACTTCTCCATTCCAGTGGACTATCTGTTCACGCTCCAGTTGATTTCAATCTGGGGATATAAAATCTTACAAGGGATGGAGTTTCACATTTTGTGTGAATCTCCAGGAATCTCAGAGCTGAGATTTCAGGCCACACTAAACAATGGTATAATACCATGTGCAATGCATTTTCTATGAGCTAGCTCTTTATTTTCCCTCAGAAATACTTTAGTCCACACCAGTAGAGAAAAGAAGTGGATGAGGAGGAGAAAAGGCTCCTCCTTACCACAGAATAAGTTTAGAAGTAGTGGTATAACAGTCATCACCACTTGGCAATGATGTTTACTAAATCTGGTGGATAAATGTTGAACAAGGCACGAGAGATCGTCGCATAGATTCAGTGCTCTCCCTGCGAAGTCTTCCTTGAGAAGTCCTAACTTTACAGAAGAGCAATCTAGCAGATGCCATGTCACCCAGATAAAGCCAGCTGTCATGAGATCATGAGAGAGGATCACAGACACACCCACTAGCGTCACATCCTCCGTCTTGTCACCATAAATTTCTAAGTGTCAGGTTAGAAGTGCAGCTATGGTAGGGGTTCACGGGAAATGCTCCTGCAGAGAGTGGCAGAGTGCGTGCAGACCCTGATCATTATTATGCTGTATGAGAGAGCACAAATGTGTGTTCCTCGTGGCCAAAGTCCTAGCAGGACAGTGTCTGCTTTGGCTGGCAGCCAGATGTGCAGCAAACAGCCACAGCCGAGATGAGTGGGTGGACAAAACACACTGCGACTTGCGTGTGTTAGCCTGACTAGTTTCCTAGTTTTTATTAATATAAGTCTACCAAAGAAAACCGTGTGTAATGTTTTTGGGACTATGCATGCCAAGAGCCAAGGTCTGTCCATGGGGAGCCATGGAAACAACCTTGCCTCCCAGGAATATACACATTGGTCCAAGGACTTGTCTCTGCACTGTCCTGCTTAGTCCAGCTCAGCCAAAAGTCAGCTCTGCCACCATAGAGGGAGAGTATGAATGCCAGGGCCTTTTAGATCCATCTTCTATCATTAGTGTCACCAACGATGACCACAGTACCACACTGGTTGTATTTCTGCCAAAAGTGCATTTCCTGAATGCATTATAGAACCACCAGACATACCTAAATTGAAGAGTAGTCAAAATTCTTAAGATGAGGCAACCAAAGAAGGGCTTCAGAATGATCTCAGATGGGTGTCAAGATGGCTTAGCAGGTAAGAGTCCTTGTAGCTAACCCCGAAAACCTGAGTTCAATCCCCAGGACATGATTTGATCTCCATGTGTGTATTTACACACACACATAAATGTGTGCAAATAAACGGAATGCAAATAATAATTTTTGGATGGTTTCAGAATGAGGAAGATTGAAGATAAGTGAGAACTAAATAAAATGCATGATTCTTGTTTGTCCCGAAACAAACGGTGTAGGTCTGGCTGCAGAGAGTGAGTGGGATTGGGAAATGAAGAACACAAGGCAGGTCTTTGCACTTTCCTGCCATCGCTGTGTTTGGAAGTATTTTCAAATAAAAAGTCAAAACTAAAGCAAGGAAAAGTAAAGCTATAAAAAAGACTAAGTTATCTGCAGAAGAGCTATTTAGATAAACTTACGAGTTTGCCAAGGTTACTGAATACAGGGTTGATATATGAAGATAATTGTATTTCTATGTTCTGGTAACAAATAATGAAATTTCATATTTTAAGTGTGTGTGTGTTTCTTTACTGATCCCTAACATATAAGCCATAAAATCTCTGGAACCTTCAAGAGGATATCTTATGTGCTAATAAGGTAAGGACAGCTGGCAGTCCCTAGGTAGCTTCAGGGTGGGCACTGCCAGAGGGATGGAACTTCCAGCCTCTGGGGAGGAGAGAAGGGTGAAGATGAAGTTAATCACCAATAGCCAGTGCCAACACCTATGCACTGAAGCCGCCATAAAAATGTAGAAGGCTTTGAAGACTTCAGAATAGAGCTGTATGGAGGTTCCTGGAGAGTGACACGTCTTGAGAGGGCACCATGCCCTCTTTCCCGTACCTTACACTGTAAGCCTCTTCATCCATCCTCTGTAATACCCTTTATAATAAGTCAGCAGACCCATTTCCCTGTATTCTGAGAGCTGCTCTAGTGAATTTGCAGGAATACCAATTTGTAATTGGTTGCTGAGCAACAACCTTATAGTTGACATCTGTGGGTGTTGGGGAAGTTTTGGATCAGATGCCTCTACCAAGCAGATAATGTGAGAAATGAACAGGATTAGAGGCAGGACCTGGCATTTGCAGAAGAACTGCTTGGTTGCTGGCAGACGGTAAGCTCCACACTCTTGGAAATCACAAGTTTAATGATTGTGGAGTGAAAGCACAAATCAGTTTGTTTGTCTAAAGCACCCAAAGCCATAAAAGACATTGAGATAAATCTAACAACTATGCAAGAGTTTTATGCTGAAATTAGAAAACATCGAAAAGAGTGAAGGCAAAATAAACGGAGAGGTGTACCATGTTCATGGACTACTCAGTATTACAGACATGCCAGTCCCTCCCCCATAAACACCTGAGGCAGGTGGGAGAGCTAACTCTGAGGTCATAAGAGCAGAACTGTCCCTGCCCATCATCAGCTGCAGAACTCAGGTAAGTGGCTTCTATACCAGGCCTGGGCAACACAGTAGAGCTGGCCCTGAAGGTGTAGGTGTGGTATAAATAGAGGTTTCTGTCCTGCCTGATCCTGCAGCCTTCAGTCTCAAAGAAACACACAGAGGTCTACATGAGTTATAAACTGGTTTGACTGTTAGCTCAGGCTTCTTATTAACTCTTACATCCTATATTAACCCATAATCCTTATCTATGTTAGCAATGTGGCTTGGCACCTTTAATCAATGAGGCATTCTCATCTTGCTTCCTCTGTATATGGGTGACGACTGCAGATTGAAACTTTCCTCTTCCCAGAATTATCCTATTCTGGTTTCCCCACCTATACTTCCTGCCTGGCTACTAACAAACCAGCATTTTATTAAACTAATACAAGTGACAAATATTTACAGGGTACAGATCACTGTCCCACAGTACTCCCCCCACCTTTTTTATTGTCAAAACAAGAATTATAAATCTGATTTCCTTTGTTTAGATTTTTTTCCTGATCATTATCTATAGCAACTTGTAACCAACACTCTAAAGAAAGACAAACATCCATACTCCATTTTTTGGGAATGTGGGTATAGTTTTCTAGCCTACTTCCTGCTGATTGGGGGCACTGATAATCTTATGGGGACCTAGAGAAAAATTAGAATTATGGTCAAGTCCTGACTGTAATATTCTGTGAGGCTTAATCATCTCAGTCAACAGTCTTGAGTTTGTTCTGGATGTAGAACTCAGATAAAACTCCAACAAAAGTCCTCTGAAATTTTGGATCATCTGGGCCATCTGCTCCTATCAGATGTTTTAGGCGGTCTTCCTTGATCAAACCTGATTTTTTATTAACCCAGAATGAATCCACAGCCTCTCATTTCCTGTGGAAACAAAAGCAAAATCTCTTCTCCAAAGTAACATATCTTTTGACTTAAATTTTGAAGTCAAGGCATTTTCAAAATATATATGTTGGATTAATTCAGCAGCATTTATAATGAAATGTCTTTTAGCAGCTGTTGCTCTTTTCTCAACCATCAAACAATTCAAAGACAACACAATAACATACGATATCCAGATTTTCTGTGTATTTTCCATCTTTACGTGGCTTTATTTTAAACTTTATTTCTTTTATTTTTATTTTTAATTTTTGGTTTTTGGAGACAGGGTTTCTCTGTGTGTCTTTGACTATCCTGGAACTCACTCTGTAGACCATGCTGTCCTTGAACTCACAGAGATGCCCCTGCCTCTGCCTCCCAAGTGCTGGGATTAAAGCTGTGCCACCACATCCAACTACTCTCTCTCTCTCTCTCTCTCTTTCTCTCTCTCTCTCCTCTTTTCTTTCTTTTTTTTAAGGACCGTATCCTTTTTCTCTTCTCTCCCAATCCCATATATATTTTTAAATACACTGTAAAACCTTTAGAAGGTTTTTTTTTTGTTCGAATCTATCTTTACTCCATATCTCCCTTTTTCTGACCACATGAGTCTTTAATTTGCTAAGTGATATGGCTAGGATTAAAACTGTGACTTTGACAGCTCTATCTACCCCATTTTGCCACAACTCTGGAGTTTCAAGGTCCCTGCCACCACCAAGAAGCATGCTGTTGGCTTTTTGTTTTGTTTTGTTTTGTTTTGTTTTTCGAGACAGGGTTTCTCTGTAGCGAGCCAGTCCTGGAACTAGCTCTTGTAGATCAGGCTGGCCTCGAGCTCACAGAGATCCACCTGCCTCTGCCTCCCAAGTGCTGGAATTAAAAGCATGCGCCACCACTGCCCCGGAGTTGTTGGCTTTTCATAAACATCATTTAGGTGTTTGTGGCAGAGCCTCTTAAAAGAGTTGCAAGGTTTTTGCAGCAAAAGCTGAGCCAGGAAGGCTCTCTTAAATGAGATGTGCTTGCCTCTATCAAACAGAACCCACCTGGGGAAAAAAATGCTGCTACCAAGAAGCCCTGATTAACCATGTTCCTTTGTATCTAGAATTCCTTCCCAAGCTCTCT